CTACTCTACTCTACATCTACTCTACTCTACTCTACTCTACTCTACATCTACTCTATCATCTACTCTACTCTACTCTACTCTACTCTACTCTACTCTACACTACTCTAGTCCTACATCTACTCTACTCTACATCTACTCTACTCTACTCTACATCTACCTCTACTCTACCTCTACATCTACTCTACTCTACTCTACATCTACCTCTACTCTACCTCTACTCTACATCTACTCTACTCTACTCTACATCTACCTCTACTCTACCTCTACTCTACATCTACTCTACTCTACTCTACATCTACCTCTACTCTACTCTACCTCTACTCTACATCTACTCTACATCTACATCTAGTCTACTCTACATCTACTCTACTCTACATCTACTCTACACTACTCTACATCTAGTCTACATCTACTCTACTTTACTCTACATCTACTCTACATCTACTCTAATCTACTCTACATCTACTCTACTCTACATCTACTCTACTCTACTCTACATCTACTCTACATCTACTCTACTCTACTCTACATCTACTCTACATCTACTCTACTCTACATCTACGCTACTCTACTCTACTCCTACATCTACTCTACTCTACATCTACTCTACTCTACTCTACATCTACCTCTACTCTACTCTACCTCTACATCTACTCTAGTCTACTCTACATCTACGCTACTCTACTCTACTCCTACATCTACTCTACTCTACATCTACTCTACTCTACTCTACTTTACATCTACCTCTACTCTACTCTACATCTACTCTACTCTACATCTACATCTACATCTCCTCTACTCTACATCTAGTCTACATCTACTCTACTTTACTCTACATCTACTCTACATCTACTCTAATCTACTCTACTCTACTCTACATCTACATCTACTCTACATCTACTTTACTCTACTCTACATCTACTCTACTCTACTCTACTCTACATCTACATCTACTCTACATCTACTCTACTCTACTCTACTCTACATCTACTCTACTCTACTCTACATCTACTGTACTCTACATCTACTCTACTCTACATCACTCTACTCTACTCTACTCTACTCTACATCTACTCTACCTCTACTCTACTCTACTTTACTGTACATCTACTCTACATCTACTCTACTCTACTCTACTCTACATCTACTGTACTCTACATCTACTCTACTCTACTCTACATCACTCTACTCTACTCTACTCTACTCTACATCTACTCTACCTCTACTCTACTCTACTCTACTCTACTCTACTTTACATCTACTCTACTCTACTGTACAGCTAGTCTACTCTACATCTACTCTACTCTACATCTAGTCTACTCTACATCTACTCTACTCTACATCTACTCTACTCTACATCTAGTCTACATCTACTCTACTTTACTCTACATCTACTCTACTCTACATCTACTCTACTCTACTCTACTCTACATCTACTCTACATCTACTCTACTCTACTCTACTCTACTCTACATCTACTCTACTCTACTCTACATCTACTGTACTCTACATCTACTCTACTCTACTCTACTCTACTCTACTCTACTCTACATCTACTCTACCTCTACTCTACTCTACTCTACTCTACTCTACTTTACATCTACCTCTACTCTACTCTACTCTGCTCTACTTTACATCTACTCTACTCTACTCTACATCTAGTCTACTCTACATCTACTCTACTCTACATCTAGTCTACTCTACATCTAGTCTACTCTACATCTACTCTACTCTACATCTAGTCTACATCTACTCTACATCTAGTCTACATCTACTCTACTTTACTCTACATCTAGTCTACTCTACATCTACTCTACATCTACTCTACTCTACTCTACTCTACTCTACTCTACTCTAGTCTACTCCTACATCTACTCTAGTCCTACATCTACTCTACTCTACTCTACATCTACTCTACTCTACATCTAGTCTACATCTACTCTACTCTACTCTACTCTAGTCTACTCCTACATCTACTCTAGTCCTACATCTACTCTACTCTACATCTACTCTACTCTACTCTACATCTACCTCTACTCTACCTCTACTCTACATCTACTCTACTCTACTCTACATCTACCTCTACTCTACTCTACCTCTACTCTACATCTACTCTACATCTACATCTAGTCTACTCTACATCTACTCTACTCTACATCTACTCTACACTACTCTACATCTACTCTACATCTACTCTACTCTACTCTACATCTACTCTACATCTACTCTACTCTACTCTACATCTACTCTACCTCTACTCTACTCTACATCTACGCTACTCTACATCTACTCTACATCTACTCTACTCTACTCTACATCTACTCTACATCTACTCTACTCTACATCTACTCTAGTCTACTCTACATCTACGCTACTCTACATCTACTCTACTCTACTCTACATCTACCTCTACTCTACTCTACCTCTACATCTACTCTACATCTACTCTACTCTACTCTACTTTACATCTACTTCTACTCTACTCTACATCTACTCTACTCTACATCTACATCTACATCTACATCTACTCTACTCTACATCTACTCTACTTTACTCTACATCTACTCTACATCTACTACTCTACTCTACTCTACATCTACTCTACTCTACATCTAGTCTACTCTACATCTACTCTACTCTACATCTACTCTACTCTACATCTACTCTACATCTACTCTACATCTACTCTACTCTACTCTACTCTAGTCTACTCCTACATCTACTCTAGTCCTACATCTACTCTACTCTACATCTACTCTACTCTACTCTACATCTACCTCTACTCTACCTCTACATCTACTCTACTCTACTCTACATCTACCTCTACTCTACCTCTACTCTACATCTACTCTACTCTACTCTACATCTACCTCTACTCTACTCTACCTCTACTCTACATCTACTCTACATCTACATCTAGTCTACTCTACATCTACTCTACTCTACATCTACTCTACACTACTCTACATCTAGTCTACATCTACTCTACTTTACTCTACATCTACTCTACATCTACTCTAATCTACTCTACATCTACTCTACTCTACATCTACTCTACTCTACTCTACATCTACTCTACATCTACTCTACTCTACTCTACATCTACTCTACATCTACTCTACTCTACATCTACGCTACTCTACTCTACTCCTACATCTACTCTACTCTACATCTACTCTACTCTACTCTACATCTACCTCTACTCTACTCTACCTCTACATCTACTCTAGTCTACTCTACATCTACGCTACTCTACTCTACTCCTACATCTACTCTACTCTACATCTACTCTACTCTACTCTACTTTACATCTACCTCTACTCTACTCTACATCTACTCTACTCTACATCTACATCTACATCTACTCTACTCTACATCTAGTCTACATCTACTCTACTTTACTCTACATCTACTCTACATCTACTCTAATCTACTCTACTCTACTCTACATCTACATCTACTCTACTCTACGCTACTCTACATCTACTCTACATCTACTCTACTCTACTCTACTCTACACCTACTCTACTCTACATCTACTCTACTCTACTCTACTCTACATCTACTCTACTCTACTTTACTCTACTCTACATCTACTCTAATCTACTCTAATCTACTCTACTCTACATCTACTCTACTCTACTCTACTCTACATCTACTCTACTCTACTCTACATCTACCTCTACTCTACTCTACCTCTACATCTACTCTACATCTACTCTACTCTACTCTACTTTACATCTACCTCTACTCTACTCTACATCTACTCTACTCTACATCTACTCTACTCTACATCTACTCTACTCTACATCTACATCTACATCTACTCTACTCTACATCTAGTCTACATCTACTCTACTTTACTCTACATCTACTCTACATCTACTCTACTCTACTCTACATCTACATCTACTCTACTCTACTCTACTCTACTCTACTCTACATCTACTCTACATCTACTCTACTCTACTCTACATCTACTCTACTCTACTTTACTCTACTCTACATCTACTCTAATCTACTCTAATCTACTCTACTCTACATCTACTCTACTCTACTCTACTCTACATCTAGTCTACATCTACTCTCCTTTACTCTACATCTACTCTACTCTACATCTACTCTACATCTACTCTAATCTACTCTACATCTACTCTACTCTACTCTACATCTCTACGCTACTCTACATCTACTCTACTCTACTCTACATCTACTCTACATCTACTCTACATCTACTCTACTCTACATCTACTCTACTCTACATCTACTCGACTCTACTTTACTCTACTCTACATCTACTCTACTCTACTCTACTCTACATCTACTCTACATCTACATCTACTCTACTCTACTCTACTCCACATCTACTCCACATCTACTCTACATCTACTCTACTCTACTCTACATCTACTCTACCTCTACTCTACTCTACATCTACGCTACATCTACTCTACTCTACATCTACTCTACTCTACATCTACTCTACTCTACATCTACGCTACTCTACATCTACTCTACATCTACTCTACTCTACATCTACTCTACATCTACGCTACTCTACATCTACTCTACTCTACATCTACTTTACTCTACTCTACATCTACTCTACTCTACTCTACATCTACTCTACTCTACATCTACTCTACTCTACTCTACATCTACATCTACTCTACTCTACATCTACATCTACTCTACTCTACATCTACATCTACTCTACATCTACATCTACTCTACTCTACATCTACTCTACTCTACATCTACTCTACATCTACTCTACTCTACTCTACTCTACATCTACTCTACATCTACTCTACATCTACTCTACATCTACCCCACTCTACTCTACTCTACTCTACCCTACCCTACCCTACCCCACTCTACTCTACTCTACTCTACTCTAGAATGTAGCAGAGTAAACAATAGGAACAGCAGCAGGTGAGGTGACTAGTGGATTACCAGAGCAGGTTCATTGATCAGTCTGTTCTTCTTCTTCTCTTCAGGAGGACAACCCGGTGTTCTGGGGAAATGCTCTGCGCTGGTTGGACCGCGGCCGCCAGGGGACCGTGGGCTACGACGCGTACCACACAGCCGTGGTCCTGTCCCAGACCGGGTTCCGCCTGGAGGAGGGCTTGTTCAAGGCCGGGCTCAGCGTCTACGTGGCCACGCACTACAAGGACGAACAGATCCAGGAGATGCTGGACTTCGTGGCTGAAGGAGGAGGCCTGGTGCTGGCGGGACAAGCCTGGACCTTCACCCAGAACAGCGACGCCAACTACCTGGTAGAGCTCGCTGGTACGTCACAGCACACTGAAGAGGTCTACAGACTTCTCTCTGGTCTCTCTCTGGTCTGTCTCTGGTCTCTCTCTGGTCTCTCTCTGGTCTCTCTCTGGTCTCTCTCTGGTCTCTCTCTGGTCTCTCTCTGGTCTCTCTCTGGTCTCTCTCTGGTCTCTCTCTGGTCTCTCTCTGGTCTCTCTCTGGTCTGTCTCTGGTCTCTCTCTGGTCTCTCTCTGGTCTCTCTCTGGTCTGTCTCTGATCTTGCTATCCCTCAGGGCCCCTGTGAGAGATAGGTAGAGGACCTGGGCTGAAGTCCCTCTGAGGCCCCCAGGGGCCCCTGACTCTTCACACTGTTTTTCCTAAATGTGTTTCAGGAAACAAGCTCCTGAACCCCGCTGGGATCACGCTGCTCTCCTCTATAATGGGAGGAGGAGTGTTCAAGGCCCCGGGGCCCGAGGCCCCTGTCAGGGACCACCACTTCAGCCACACTCTCAGCACCTTCGTGGGCTTCGTGTCCGGAAACAAAGTCCTGAGTCCAGAGGAAGAGACGGCCATGAAGGCCAACATCCCCCACATCCAGGCCTACATCAAGACCTACAACCACCAGAATTACTACTACCAGCAGACGCTGGCCACGCTGGTGCAGGTCCTGAAGAAGTCCGGTCTCCCACAGGTAGCACCTGTTCTATTGTTCAATCATCACTGACATGGAGCGGTGTTTAGCTCCATCCATGCCAGGCCTCCTTAATGTGGTTGTTCTGAGACCATGGTTGATACCACGGATTTAATCCCAAAAGTGTGAATGTGACACACATGGTTCCTGAGGACTTTTCTTTACCATGTGTGTTGATACAGAGTAAGTGTACTCTCCCATGGTCCTCTGTCCACAGGTGTCAGAGAGTTCTCCTGCCACCAGCTGGAAGGACAAGATGCTGCTGAGTCTGGTTTCTGGAGTCTACGAAGCCTCCACAGAGACGCTCCAGGACGAGCTGTTGAAGACCCTGCACCCAAACCAGTCCCAGCTCCCCATGGTCCAGAACCAGAGAGTCCGAGTGAGCGCAGACACAGGAGGTACTGGTGTGGTACTGCCACAGCTGTATACAGATGCTACAGACAGTTCTCTGGTCTCCCTCTGGTCTCCCTCTGGTCTCCCTCTGGTCTGCCTCTGGTCTGCCTCTGGTCTGCCTCTGGTCTGCCTCTGGCCTCTCTCTCTGGTCTCCCTCTGGTCTCCTTCTGGTCTCTGATGTGTGTGGCCTGTGTTCAGATGGAGAGGAGTGGATCAGCACAGGTCTCTATCTTCCTCCTGGGTTAAAGACCAACGTGACGGTCCCAGTGGAGATGGTCGGCAAGAACTGGAAGGTCTGAGTCTGCTCCAGGAACACATGATATTTATCTTTAAGATCATTATCTTTAAGATCATTATCTTTAAGATCATTATCTTTAAGATCATTATCTTTAAGATCATTATCTTTAAGATCATTATCTTTAAGATCATTATCTTTAAGATCATTATCTTTGTGATATTCCTCCCAGGGTGATATAGAAATAATAAAATATCAAAGCAGTGGTAAACGTTCAGAAGTCCATCAAAAGGGGAGGAGTCGAAGTCTCTCAGTTTTGTTTTCCATGAGGGAAGGATGGAGCGTGAGAATAATGGACCGTTGTGTTGAAGAGGGAGCAGCGTCTGCAGTCAGAGCTCTCATTTTATCGGTCAATCTTCGTCCCCTCCCTCACCTTTGGTTGTGAGCTTTAGGTAAAGAGCGAGAGGACGAGATTGCGGATACAGCAGTCCACATGCTCCCTTAGAGACAGAGGAGCTCAGTCACACAGAAGGAGCTCGGAGTAGAGCCGCTGCTCCTCCACGTGGAGCTCATCTGTTTGGGAGGCCTCCTGGTCTCCTCTGAGAAGGTGTTCTGGGCCTGTCCCATCGGGAGGAGACCAGAGGAAGACCCAGGATTCCCCCAGATGAGCTGGAGGAGGTGTCTGTGGAGAGGGAAGTCTGTGTCTGCTCAGACGGCTGCCCCCACGACCCGGCAACGGATAAAGTGTAAGAAAATAGATGAATGTGTGGTTTACTTGTGGACCTGTGTGTTCCTCAGGTGCAGATCAGCTGTCAGTCCGATGAGCTGGACACAAAGGACGACTTGTACCGAGCTCCTGTGGTCTCCGAGCGCTTCATGGTCTCTGCTGAGACCACGATGGTCCAGAACGTCTGGGGAGGTCTCATTTATCTGATCGCACCTCCCAAAACCAAAGTCACCGCCGCAGAGGTCACCGTCCAAGAAGCTGTTCGCTGTCCGTACTATAGATCTGGTGAGTTATTTAACAGAGAGACCAGAGAGAGACCAGAGAGAGACCAGAGAGAGACCAGAGAGAGAGACCAGAGAGAGACCAGAGAGAGACCAGAGAGAGACCAGAGAGAGACCAGAGAGAGACCAGAGAGAGACCAGAGAGAGACCAGAGAGAGACCAGAGAGAGACCAGAGAGAGACCAGAGAGAGAGACCAGAGAGAGTCCAGAGAGGGACCAGAGAGAGACCAGAGAGAGACCAGAGAGAGACCAGAGAGAGACCAGAGAGAGACCAGAGAGAGACCAGAGAGAGACCAGAGAGAGACCAGAGAGAGAGACCAGAGAGAGTCCAGAGAGAGTCCAGAGAGAAGAGAGAGACCAGAGAGAGACCAGAGAGAGACCAGAGAGGGACCAGAGAGAGACCAGAGAGAGACCAGAGAGACCAGAGAGGGACCAGAGAGAGACCAGAGAGAGACCAGAGAGAGACCAGAGAGAGACCAGAGAGAGAGACCAGAGAGAGTCCAGAGAGAGTCCAGAGAGAAGAGAGAGACCAGAGAGAGACCAGAGAGAGACCAGAGAGAGACCAGAGAGAGACCAGAGAGAGAGACCAGAGAGAGTCCAGAGAGAAGAGAGAGACCAGAGAGAGACCAGAGAGAGACCAGAGAGAGACCAGAGAGAGACCAGAGAGAGACCAGAGAGAGTCCAGAGAGAGTCCAGAGAGAGTCCAGAGAGAGTCCAGAGAGAGTCCAGAGAGAGTCCAGAGAGAGACCAGAGAGAGACCAGAGAGAGACCAGAGAGAGACCAGAGAGAGTCCAAGGCGGCACGGTGGCTGAGTGGATAGCACTCTCGCCTCTCAGCAAGAAGGTCCTGGGTTCATATCCCGGTCGGACCAGGGCCTTTCTGAGTGGAGTTTGCATGTTCTCCCCGTGTCTGCGTAGGTTTCCTCCGGGTACTCCGGTTTCCCCTACCACTAAAAATATGTCCAATAGTTCTGGCATGTGCCTCCTGTACTGGCCCCTCCCATCTCTGTGTGGAGTGAGAGACAAATGCCCAAAATTAACAGTTGTAAACCGCTTTGAGACTCAGATCTGCAGTGAAAAGGCGGTATATAAATATAAACTTACTTACCAGAGAGAGTCCAGAGAGAGACCAGAGAGAGACCAGAGAGAGACCAGAGAGAGACCAGACACAGGAGAGAGAGCTCCTGCTTTGGTTGAAATGAACCAGGAACAGGACCATCTGTGCTGTGAGGACCAGTATGACACCTGGTATTATGTGAGTTTGTTGCGTTTCAGGAGAGACCTCTCTGGAGGACTGGCTGCAGATGCGCTCGGCCCCGGGTCCGTGGGCGGAGCTGGAGTTTGAGAACCTGATCCTGACCGTCCCCTCTGGTGTGGTGAGGACCATGGACAGACCAGATGAGGTGGCGGCACTATGGGACAAGATCATGAGAGCCATCGCGGATCTGTCTGGGATTCCACACAAGTTCCAACGAAAGGAACGCATCGTCACTGAGGTTCAGATCTCAGCAGGTAAATACTCAGAGAGAGAGAGACCAGAGAGAGAGACCAGAGAGAGACACCAGAGAGAGAGACCAGAGAGAGAGACCAGAGAGAGAGACCAGAGAGAGAGACCAGAGAGAGACCAGAGAGAGAGACCAGAGAGAGAGACCAGAGAGAGACACCAGAGAGAGAGACCAGAGAGAGAGACCAGAGAGAGAGACCAGAGAGAGAGACCAGAGAGAGACCAGAGAGAGAGACCAGAGAGAGAGACCAGAGAGAGAGACCAGAGAGAGAGACCAGAGAGAGAGACCAGAGAGAGAGACCAGAGAGAGAGACCAGAGAGAGAGACCAGAGAGAGACCAGAGAGAGAGACCAGAGAGAGAGACCAGAGAGAGAGACCGGAGAGAGACCAGAGAGAGAGACCAGAGAGAGAGACCGGAGAGAGACCAGAGAGAGACCAGAGAGAGAGACCAGAGAGAGACCAGAGAGAGACCAGAGAGAGACTTAGCATCTATAACTCTGCTGTCGTCCGCAGGCCTGATGCATGCTGGGTACCCCATCATGGGCCACACGCCTAAAGCCAAGGTGATGACGAATTTTGCAGAGATCAAGAAAGTGGGACTATGGGGCCCCATCCACGAGCTGGGACACAACCAGCAGAGGTATGTGAGCTCCGAGACAGATTTGACCATTGCTGGCAGAGGTTTGTGAGCACCGATACTGTTTGCAGGTGGCAGTCAGAGTTTTGGCCAAACACCAGGGAAGCGACGTGCAACCTGTGGTCTGTGTATGTGAGCGAGACAGTGCTGGGATTCACTGTAGACATGTACCAGGTGACATCACACACGTACCAGATGACATCACACACACATGTACCAAGTGACATCACACACACATGTACCAGGTGACACTACACACATGTACCAGGTGACATCACACACATGTACCAGGTGACACCACACACATGTACCAGGTGACATCACACACATGAACCAGGTGAAATCCCACACGTGTACCAGGTGACACCACACACATGTACCAGGTGACATCACACACATGTACCAGGTGACACCACACACATGTACCAGGTGACATCACACACATGTACCAGGTGACATCACACACATGTACCAGGTGACACCACACACATGTACCAGGTGACATCACACACATGTACCAGGTGACACCACACACATGAACCAGGTGACACTACACACATGTACCAGGTGACACTACACATATGTACCAGGTGACATCACACACATGTACCAGGTGACACCACATACATGTACCAGGTGACACTACACACATGTACCAGGTGACATCACACACATGTACCAGGTGACACCACACACATGAACCAGGTGACATCACACACATGTACCAGGTGACATCACACACATGTACCAGGTGACATCACACACATGTACCAGGTGACACCACACACATGTACAGGTAAAACCACACACATGTACCAGGTGACACGTACCAGGTGACACCACACACATGAACCAGGTGAAATCCCACACGTGTACCAGGTGACACCACCCACATGTACCAGGTGACACAACACACATGTACCAGGTGACATCACACACATGTACCAGGTGACACCACACACATGTACCAAGTGACATCACATATATGTACCAGGTGACACCACACACACATGTACCAGGTGACATCACACACATGGTTATAATAATACGACTCTAAACAGGGAAATGACGTGACCGCAGAGTTCCGAGCCGGAGTCATAGAAAAGTTTGTTAAAGACGGAAAGAAGCTGGACGACTGGAACACGTGGGTGGCCTTCGAGACATATCTGCAGGTACCAGATGGACCATGCTAACATGCTAGCTCAATGAAACTCGATAGGGAAGTGCTCATGGTGAAGTTTTGGCTCAATTTCTCTCTGGCTCCATGTCTTCTATGTCAAAGTGACCTCCCATGGTTTCTCTGTGGTCCTGCTGTTTATATTGTCCTATTGTCTAACAATGTTCAAACCCATGCCCATATAAGGAAACTGGATCAAACCGGATCCTGGAACAGAAGAATACGATCTGAAAACAACAACGACAAGAGGGAAGAAACCGACCGTTACGAAACACGGTCAGGCAACAACACGCCAGAGAGATTGGTTAACAATCTGGCACCAGGAGCCACATGGAACCAGCTGAGGCACTGCTCCCACACACCACAGAAGGGGGGGGGGGGCTCTAGTCTCAGGTAGGGGAGGGGTGGGGACTCCAGTCTCAGGTAGGGGAGGGGTGGGGACTCCAGTCTCAGGTAGGGGAGGGGTGGGGACTCCAGTCTCAGGTAGTGGAGGGGTGGGGACTCCAGTCTCAGGTAGGGGAGGGGTATAGGACTCCAGTCTCAGGTTGGGGAGGGGGACTCCAGTCTCAGGTAGGGGAGGGGTGGGGACTCCAGTCTCAGGTAGTGGAGGGTATAGGACTGCAGTCTCAGGTAGGGGACGGGTGGGGACTCCAGTCTCAGGTAGTGGAGGGGAGGGGGACTCCAGTCTCAGGTAGGGGAGGGGTATAGGACTCCAGTCTCAGGTAGGGAAGGGGTGGGGACTCCAGTCTCAGGTAGGGGAGGGGTGGGGACTCCAGTCTCAGGTAGGGGAGGGGGACTCCAGTCTCAGGTAGTGGAGGGGTATAGGACTCCAGTCTCAGGTAGTGGAGGGGTATAGGACTCCAGTCTCAGGTTGGGGAGGGGTGGGGACTCCAGTCTCAGGTAGGGGAGGGGTGGGGACTCCAGTCTCAGGTAGGGGAGGGGCACTCCAGTCTCAGGTAGGGGAGGGGTGGGGACTCCAGTCTCAGGTAGGGGAGGGGGACTCCAGTCTCAGGTAGGGGAGGGGTATAGGACTGCAGTCTCAGGTAGGGGAGGGGTGGGGACTCCAGTCTCAGGTAGGGGAGGGGTGGGGACTCCAGTCTCAGGTAGGGGAGGGGGACTCCAGTCTCAGGTAGTGGAGGGGTATAGGACTGCAGTCTCAGGTTGGGGAGGGGTGGGGACTCCAGTCTCAGGTAGGGGAGGGGTGGGGACTCCAGTCTCAGGTAGGGGAGGGGTGGGGACTCCAGTCTCAGGTAGGGGAGGGGGACTCCAGTCTCAGGTAGTGGAGGGGTATAGGACTCCAGTCTCAGGTAGGGGAGGGGTGGGGACTCCAGTCTCAGGTAGGGGAGGGGTGGGGACTCCAGTCTCAGGTAGGGGAGGGGTGGGGACTCCAGTCTCAGGTAGGGGAGGGGTGGGGACTCCAGTCTCAGGTAGGGGAGAGGGACTCCAGTCTCAGGTAGGGGAGGGGTGGGGACTCCAGTCTCAGGTTAAGCTGGGGCTGTAGGAGGAGCAGCATTTGTTCTGCCCCCGTTAGCTTTGTGCCGTAACATGAGCAGATGTGTTGCTAAGACGGTTGCTAAGGCAAGCTGAAGTTTCCCCATGAAGTAGAAAGTTACTGAGTTAGAGTTTACTTTTACAAGTCAGCAGGAGCCAGAGCAAAACTTCACCATGAGCACTTCCCTATTGCCCTTCATTGAGCGGGCGAGTTAGCATGCATACTCTATGGTCTGGTGTCCACAGCTGAAGGAGAAGTTTGGCTGGGACGCCTATAAGAAGGTGTTTGCGGCGTACCAGGCCATGGACGACTCTCAGATCACAAACGACAACACCTTCAAGATGAACCTGTACGCAGAGACCTTCTCCCGCATCGTCGGCATGGACCTCACCGGGTTCTTAAAGTCCTGGAGCTGGCCCATCCAGGACAAGACCGTGGAGGCCCTGTCCAGCCTCCCAGACTGGAACGACCACCCCATGGTCCAACACAACTGAAGCCACACCAGCTGACCAAGGAGAGCCTCTGGTGTTAGTCTGGTCTCTCTCCGGTCTCTCTCTAGTCTCTCTCTGTTCTCTCTCTAGTCTCTCTCTGGTCTCTCTCCGGTCTCTCTCCGGTCTCTCTCTAGTCTCTCTCTGTTCTCTCTCTAGTCTCTCTCTGGTCTCTCTCTAGTCTCTCTCTGGTCTCTCTCTAGTCTCTCTCTGGTCTCTCTCTAGTCTCTGGTCTCTCTCTCTGGTCTCTCTCCGGTCTCTCTCTAGTCTCTCTCTGGTCTCTCTCTGGTCTCTCTCTAGTCTCTCTCTGGTCTCTCTCTAGTCTCTCTCTGGTCTCTCTCTCTGGTCTCTCTCCGGTCTCTCTCTAGTCTCTCTCTGGTCTCTCTCTGGTTTAATATAGCACTTTGAGTTGCCTTGTGTATAACTTTTGCTATACAAATAAACTTGTTTATAAAATGCCTTGTCGAGCGATGACATAAACAACTGCAGCTGTTAATGTAGAGTTCATGTGACATCACCTGCTCCTGAGTCTATGTAAGATTAAACATCTGTATTTAAATATATTTAAATACAGATGTTTCCTCATAAACGATGGAGACTTTGTTTATTCTTTTTTCACTTTGTCAACATTAACATTTACTTTCTCTGTAGTTTTGGCCCAGTTTGGTTCCATCCATCTGGTGTTGTTACTATATTTACAAGTAGAAGAATGGCAGTCTGCGACACGCTGAGAGAATAATGCTCACAGATGTGATTAAAACATGAACCATGGGATCATTGCGTTCGTTAACGTGTGTTTTGCTGTAACTTGTTGAGTCTTGTTTGTTTTTCTGATCTGTGATTTGGTGCGATACAAGAATGAATTTAATTTAATTTAATTGAACTAGAACTCCCAAAGCAGTCAATTTGACATCTTTTCGTTTTGGTGTAATAACGTGGCTGTTTAAATTATCTTTTATTTTTTAAACATGATGAGAGTGACCTTTAACTCCCAGAGCAGTCATCTGAACTCTGTTCATTTTACCGTAAGACTCAAAACCGTTTTAGTCACTAACCAACATTCTGAGGCAGATAAAGCGACTTTTGTGAAGCGGAACTGAACTGGTCCAAAGCATTCTCAGCTTGTGCTAGTTACCATAGCAACACTAATGCACAGTTAGCATTCAGCAGCTTTTCAACAAACGTTTTTGCTGTTTTTCAAGGAACCAATTTTAGCAAGTATGAAAAGTAAAATTGTGTTAAACTGCTTAATTTGAATAAAACCAATGAAAAACTAAAACGGCCACCTCTGAAAACAGAACATATCTGGGCTCACTTCCTCAAACGGTCGCTAGGAGGCAGCAAAGACAAATCCACTTCCTCCATAAAGCCTTTTTTGACACGAATTAAATGCGTGCCGTTTTTGCGTGCTGGTTTTGCGTTTATTGTGGATTCGTCTGTGTTTAGACTTCAGAGGAAGTCTTGATAAACAGCTTCAGACCGTCTCCGTGTAGTGTCCGCTGCTCATTCTGGTTTCTCTGCTGCCATCGCGATGACGTAACGTTCACTTTACTGAACCACAAACGCAAACGAATCAACAAGTTACACTAAAACACACAATAACACACAATAACACACGCGATGATCCGATGGTTCATGTTTTAATCACATTTATGAGCGTTATCCTTAACGTAACCTTTAAAATTACATCTGTCTCTGCTTCATACAGCGTGTCAGGATGGCCGAGTGGTCTAAGGCGCCAGACTCAAGGATAGTCTCCTTCCGCACATACGGGTATTCTGGTCTCCGAATGGAGGCGTGGGTTCGAATCCCACTTCTGACACAACCTTTTCTCAACTTCGCGCAGTGTGTTTGTGACAGATCTATTTTTTAAGCATGACGTTAGGATAACAAAAAACAGATATATACTAGATATAAAATACAATACTAGTTTTTAAAATACAGGACTTTCTCTAGTCTCTCTAGTCTCTCTCTCTGGTCTCTCTCTCTGGTCTCTCTCTCTGGTCTCTCTCTCTAGTCTCTCTCTCTAGTCTCTCTCTCTGGTTTCTCTCTCTAGTCTCTCTCTCTGGTTTCTCTCTCTAGTCTCTCTCTCTAGTCTCTCTCTCTAGTCTCTCTCTCTGGTTTCTCTCTCTGGTTTCTCTCTCTAGTCTCTCTCTCTAGTCTCTCTCTCTAGTCTCTCTCTCTGGTTTCTCTCTCTAGTCTCTCTCTCTGGTTTCTCTCTCTAGTCTCTCTCTCTGGTTTCTCTCTCTGGTTTCTCTCTCTGGTTTCTCTCTCTTGTTTCTCTCTCTGGTTTATCTCTCTGGTTTCTCTCTCTAGTCTCTCTCTCTGGTTTATCTCTCTGGTTTCTCTCTCTTGTTTCTCTCTCTGGTTTCTCTCTCTGGTTTCTCTCTCTGGTCTCTCTCTCTAGTCTCTCTCTGGTTTCTCTCTCTTGTTTCTCTCTCTGGTTTCTCTCTCTGGTTTCTCTCTCTTGTTTCTCTCTCTGGTTTCTCTCTCTGGTTTCTCTCTCTTGTTTCTCTCTCTGGTTTCTCTCTCTGGTTTCTCTCTCTTGTTTCTCTCTCTGGTTTCTCTCTCTGGTTTCTCTCTCTTGTTTCTCTCTCTGGTTTCTCTCTCTGGTTTCTCTCTCTGGTTTCTCTCTCTAGTCTCTCTCTCTGGTTTCTCTCTCTGGTTTCTCTCTCTTGTTTCTCTCTCTGGTTTCTCTCTCTTGTTTCTCTCTCTGGTTTCTCTCTCTCCGGTCTCTCCCTTTCTAACTCTTCGCAGTATAACGTGTGTGGCTGCGGCTTCATTTTTACACATGACGTTTTGTCACTGAAAGGGCAAAGATCTTGTGAATATTTATTTTTATTGCAGGAAGTCAAAACTTGTAATTATAGCTTTGGCTCAAGGTGCAAGTAAAAAAAGATTCATAAGGCATGCATCATTTTGCTCAATGTATTTTGTATAGCCCTAAATCACAACAGTAGTTGTTATGGAGTACTTTACAATGAACAAACTTATATCCAGAAGGTGAAGCTATAATTATAACGGTCTCATGGTTAAAAAAAACTCAAAAGTAACTGAATTGACATGTTTTGCCTTTATTCTCGATCACAAATACAGAATGTACAGTAACACAGCTGCATAGAGTAACACAGCTGCATAGAGTAACACAGCTGCATAGAGTAACACAGCTGCATAGAGTAACACAGCTGCACAGAGATGAAAACTAAACAATCCAAACGCGATGAAGGCATTTTGCAGTGTTTAAGTTCATTTATTCAACAGACCGATGCAGTGACAGTTTTTGGCTCCACTTGTCTTAAGATTAAACGTCCATTAATGTTTTTGCCTCTTCCAAAATGTGTTCCATGTAAGATCTAGTTATTTGTCATTTCCAAAAGCCAATGTCTTAAACACTGAATTCGATGCATTTTTAGTAGATATAAATAAAACCAATGAATGGCTAACTCTTGCTAAACTTGCCAATTTCAAGATAGCTGTAAAAAGTAAATTAGCCACATTAGCAAGAGTAGGTCTGACTAACTCCGGCTAATGTGGCTAACTCTTGCTAATGTGGCTGTCACTCCCGTATTCGTCCCGGAAACCGGATTCGTCCGGAAGTTCAGTTTGCGCATGTCAAAAAGTTTAATATGTCCTTAAGTGGTGACTGGTTAAGTTTAGGCGTCTGATTAAGATGGTTAAGTTTAGGGTTAAGGCTGGGTTGGGGTTATTTTATGGGAATGGCTGGTTAAGTTTAGGCATGAATAGGTAGTTTTTTATATTTACTTCCGCTTCCGTCCAGATTCTGTGACGTAATCTACTGCTGCGTATGCTCATTGGATCAAACTGAACTTCCGGACGAATCCGGTTTCCGGGACGAATACGGGAGTGACATGGCTAACTCTTGCCAACTTCGAGCAAGCTGTTAAAAGAATTAGTCAGGCTAACTCGTGCTAATGTGGCTAACTCATGCTAATGTGGCTAACTCATGCTAATGTGGCTAACTCTTGCTAATGTGGCTAACTCTTGCTAATGTGGCTAACTCGTGCTAAGCTTGCCAACCTTGAGCTAGCTGTAAAGTAATTATCCGGACCTACTGTGGCTAACTGCGGATAACTCTGGCTAACTGCGGATAACTCTGGCTAACTGCGGATAACTCTGGCTAACTGCGGATAACTCTGGCTAACTGCGGATAACTCTGGCTAACTGCGGATAACTCTGGCTAACTGCGGATAACTCTGGCTAACTGCGGATAACTCTGGCTAACTGCGGATAACTCTGGCTAACTGCGGATAACTCTGGCTAACTGCGGATAACTCTGGCTAACTGCGGATAACTCTGGCTAACTGCGGATAACTCTGGCTAACGCGGATAACTCTGGCTAACGCGGCTAACTCTGGCTAACGCGGCTAACTCTGGCTAACGCGGCTAACTCTGGCTAACGCGGCTAACTCTGGCTAACGCGGCTAACTCTGGCTAACGTGGCTAACTCTGGCTAACGTGGCTAACTCTGACCAACTTCGAGTAAGCTGTAAAAAGAATTAGTCAGACCTTCTCTTGCTAACGTGGCTAGCTCTTGCTAAAATCACCATGGCTGTATCCGAATGTCCACACTATACCCTATTCACTCACTCACTATATAGTTCGGGACTATATAGCGACTGAGTGAGTGAGTCAGTGCACTCATTCTGTTGGCGATTCGGACAGCTGCACACTATTTTTAGCCGCGGCCCACATCACACCCCTGTCACATGTCATTGGATCAATATAATTTTATATATAAATAAAAGTATATTAAAATATCAATATTTGTCTAATATACATGTATAAAATGTTTTTACAATTTATATTCATATTTATGAATTTTGGTTGACGTCTTTCATATTCCCGCCACCTGACCGGCTCCTCTAACACCGGTGAAATGGCACCTCCACTGAATTTTGCGGTGTTTTTCATAACTATTATACAAGTTATCATAATGCGAATTAAACACCGCCGAACAGAGAGAAGGCGAAGACAGGCGATGAGGGCGAGGAGGAGAATGGCTCTTCGTTCATTAACAAGGCGTCGTGTAAGTATTGTATTCGTCCTTTGTCTATATAGCATTAGCACCATCTACTGGGTAAATTATAGTACTTTTGGTGTACTTACTAATTCAAAATACTATTCTCAGTCAATGAGAAACACATTAGTCATATACATTTAGACATATTTCAACAAGAAAACACATTGTATAGACACACTCACTTAAAATGCAAGAACATTAAAATATTTTTATTGGTTGAAAGAACACAAAACCATAGCAAGGAAAATGGATTAAGTACTCATTTTTTCTAAATGAAAAATGAGTACTTAATCATTAAACAATAATAGAATTTGCTTGGCCATGGGGCACAGGGCTTCTGTGATTTTTTTGTGTGTTATTAGGTGCGAGTGATGTAGGCTGAGGGTTTCTACTTCAGTTGTCTCAGGGCAGCTCCAGCTCCCTGCAACACACAATACATTTGGCAAAATCAATGCCATGGCACAAAAGAACATGACTTCAGCTATATACTCTTCATTTTTATTTACATTTTTAAATCTCAAAATGAAAAATGAGTACTTATTCCTGTGTCTGCACTCATAACTAAAAGTGCAGATACAGAATTAAAAAATGAATCTAGAAGTATCATATTAAGTTTAAGAGAATGTTTGTTTTGTTTTAGGGTGAACCACCGGTGTACTGCCGACTGAACCACCATGTACCCCTGCTCAGCATGTACTTAAATGGCCAGTCTGACCTTCGCCCCGATTTTCGTCTCATTCGAACCACCATCACCCGTCTGGTTAGCCACCTGAGGAGTGCTCATCACCAGGGCTGGAGCCAGGACATGGAGGTTTTGGTCTTCCTCTTTTGGTTGGCCAGTGGCACCGCGTACCGTGTTGTCGCCAGGGCATTGGACATGCCCCAGTCCACAGTCCACGATGTGATCCACAGCGTGGCCAACCAGATCCTTCAAATGCGTGGCCAAATAATTCATTTCCCTTCCCTGGAGGAACTTCCCCAAGTTGCAGCTGGGTTTCAGCTGTTGACTGGATCAGCTGCTTTAAATAATGTTGTGGGGAGCATCGACGGCTGCCACATTAGAATAAAGCCCCTTCAAGAAAATGCACAGTGTTATTTTAACAGGAAATTGTTTTATTCTATTCAAATGCAGGCTGTGTGTAATCACCGTGGCTTATTTATTGATTTGTTTGTTGGCTACCCCGGATCTGTGCACGATTCTCGGGTGCTTAAAAACAGCCCCCTGTATGTCCACCGCCTCTATCCCCCAAATGGACACGTCCTCCTTGGTGATGGTGGCTACCCTTGCCTCCGTCAGCCCATCACACTCCTCCCTCCATACAGAGAGCCTGTTTGGAGCCCAGTGGAAGCCCGCTTCAACCGGCACCATGCACGGGCACGATCTGTAACAGAAAGAGCGTTTGGTATGATGAAAGCAAGATAGCGATCCATTTTTTTCCAAGGCACTGGAAGTCCAACCCACTTTTGCAGTCGAGGTGACTGCCTGTTGCGCCATCCTGCACAACATCTGCATCAGCGATGGTGATCTCTGGGAGCCAGTGGAAGAGGAGCCAGGGCCTGATGATGAGCAGGACCAGCATCAGCAGCACCAGCCTGATCAGCAGTGTGGACAGGAGCTGCGTGGACGGATGGCAGCAGCACTTTCCACCCCAACATTAATTAAATGTTTGAATAATCTGTGTTTTGGCCTATTTAAATAAAAACAAAAACAATTGAATATGTAAATATCTAAAAAGAAATTGTTGAATGTATGTATAGTTCTTTACAAATGTCTAGTTGATTAAATTTTTTTTTGTAAATAGTGTTCATCATAGTTCAAACTACACTTATCAAAATACATTTTTATCTACTATTTACAACTTCTCAACAATTCTCTCCAACAAACTCAACAGTCTCTCCCCCCTCTCTTCCTCTCTTCTTCCCCTCTCCTTGTGGAAACGCCCTCCCCCATGGATGAGGCAATCAGGCAGGGAGGCTGCACAGATGGCCTGCTGCCTCATCCATGAGGGAGTATTTATTCATAATGGTCATACTCCCATCCAGCCGCCGATGCAAATTTTTCACCCGCAGTCAGATGAGTCTCTCCACATCAGTGTCTGTCCCTTTAAAAAACATTAAACACACAATAAATGCTATACATATAACACAAGTGCTTTAATAACATTAATGACTGACCACCAGTGACCCGTTTCTGTAGCGTTCGCTTTAGATGTTAATGTTATGATATGCAAAAATGCTAACACTTTCGCGGCATAACATTGGTACGTTGTTTCGCAGTAAAAGGCAATGGTATTCTGACTTCAAATGTGTATTTTGGCAGCTTATCGTCAACAATATATCACGGTTTACACATTTACATATTTATGATGATTAAAAACTCACATTTATACCTCATGTGTTGCTCCTGTTCCAACACGTCTCTCGCTGCCTCCGCCATTTTACTTCCGTCTAGTGACGATCGCTGCTCACTACATTTTCGAGATGCATTGTGGGAAAATTCCAGTGCACTACTTTTTCTCTCTGGACATTCGGACACCCCTACAAAATGGCGTGACCACTATATAGTGCACTATATAGGGTATAGTGTGGACATTCGGATACAGCCCATGACATTGTTTATTTGTAAGAATTAACTCATTGCAGGTATCATTGAAATGTAGGGAACGTGTCAGACTGGACTAGACTCGGGACATATTCTAACAGTAAAATCAGGTACAGGCCCCTTTGAGGTGATCCATCTCACAATAAACAAGACTTTAATTCTCGAAAATACTGCATTTTTAATTTGATCCGATGTCACAAGTTAAAAAGTCGTTTAGAGACAAAGCAGGCGACAAAATTCTATTCGTTTACATTTCCACATTCTCAAAATCATCTGTGTTGAATGAGTTAAACCATGATTTGTACAAAAACATACAACATAAAAACAAACAATGGCACCTCGGTCTCATTCAGAACATTTGCTTAATAAAAATTATGTTATAAAGTAGTTAGAATGGATTGGTCCAACAGTGCATTAACGGCATTAACTGCTTCAGGAATATATTTGGTTAATAAAAAAGGAATGAGCCTTGATACATGAGTCCAGTCGTGGGTCTAGTCCTGGTTTAGTCTTTAGTCCAGTGGTTCTCAACCGGTTTCAGTCACAAACAAAGCAAAAGGCAACGCTTTGTGTTTGTGAGACGGGGGGGCGCGGAGACTCGGGGGGGGGGGGCGCGGGAGACTCGGGGGGGGGGGGACTCGGGGGGCGGGAGACAGCACAAACACAAAGCAAAAGGCAACACGCGCAAGCCCCGTTTCCACCAGCCCCTACTCGGCTCAGGTACAGGTACTAAAGTGTTCTAGCTAACCATGATTGGCCAGAGAGTCATGGTTACCGAGGATTTGGTTAAGAGTTAGGTTGCTAGAATGAATAGGAGTAGAACAGAGTAGGGCTGGTGGAAACGGCGCGAGAGTAGATGGATGTATGTACAGTATTGGAATTAGAAACCTTCCCCCATTATTCTTCATTGATCGGTTGTGAAGCGGCCAAGTGCCTGGTCAGTAGGTGGATGGGAGACCGCTCACTCTGCCTGTAAACACAAGCTCTACATGGCGACTGAAATACTCTGGAAACATCTGAACTCTTCCCAGACCAGCTGAGCTTCGGGTCCCGGGCACATAAGGAAATCGGCGCCAACTAGCTCTGCTTCTTCCACGTTAAGGCTAGCATTAAGGCTATGGTGACGTCAGAACTTGGTCAGACCACTCCTAATATACAGTCTTGGCATGGGGTGGTAGACTGAGCGGTAGATCCAGAGCTTTGACTGCAGACGCTGTTCCCTCGTCAGTCGTCACCGCAAGAGTCCGATACAAGGGCCTCATCTGTCAATCTCACGCTCAAGAGACCAGAAAGAGAGAGAGGTGCCCAGGGTAGAGTCAGGTAGGGCTGGTGGAAACAGGGCTTTGGAAATATATTAACGATCTTCCAAAGCATTATGGGTCTGGGAACAACATAAGCGGTCTCCCCACAGCTTGAGAAGCACTGGTGTGGTCCGTGCAGATGTGAGAGGCTGGTGTTTAGGTCTCGTCAGTCGCTCTTCTTCTCCGTCGTGTCCTTGGCGTCTTCGTCGTCTGTGTACTCTGCAGGTTCCTCTCCGGGCTTTAGCAGTTTCCCTACGTAGTCGTACTTAACTGGAAACATAACAAGAAGAGACGGACTGTCAGAGACGAGTTTTAGCTCAAAGCTGAGAAGACGTCAACAGTTGGTAGACGACATACACGAGTTACACAGCTTAACCAGGACCTTAACCAGGACCTCAACCAGGACCTCAACCAGGACCTCAACCAGGACCTCAACCAGGACCTCAACCAGGACCTCAACCAGGACCTCAACCAGGACCTCAACCAGGACCTCAACCAGGACCTCAACCAGGACCTCAACCAGGACCTTAACCAGGACCTCAACCAGGACCTTAACCAGGACCTTAACCAGGACCTTAACCAGGACCTTAACCAGGACCTTAACCAGGACCTTAACCAGGACCTTAACCAGGACCTTAACCAGGACCTTAACAACAGGGGACACAGTAGTTTCTCATTCAGGCTCTAGTAGTGACTAAACTAGCGCAGGTAGCGTTAGCGTGTTTGCCGACGCGGAAGTACCGTTTAATGATAAAATGGACTTATGACACACCTCTGAACACATACTGAACACATACTACTGTTATATAAGGTCTCTGGACACAGACGCTGCAGAGCTGCATTATTGGGAAGAACTTTTTACTTTCGCCACTTCCGGCGGTGGTCTTTAAAAATGACTCGGGGACGGGAGACTCGGGGACGGGAGACTCGGGGACGGGAGACTCGGGGACGGGAGACTCGGGGACGGGAGACTCGGGGACGGGAGACTCGGGGACGGGAGACTCGGGGACGGGAGACTCGGGACGGGAGACTCGGGGACGGGAGACTCGGGACGGGAGACTCGGGACGGGAGACTCGGGACGGGAGACTCGGGACGGGAGACTCGGGACGGGAGACTCGGGACGGGAGACTCGGGACGGGAGACTCGGGGACGGGAGACTCGGGGACGGGAGACTCGGGGACGGGAGACTCGGGGACGGGAGACTCGGGGACGGGAGACTCGGGGACGGGAGACTCGGGGACGGGAGACTCGGGGACGGGAGACTCGGGGACGGGAGACTCGGGGACGGGAGACTCGGGGACGGGAGACTCGGGACGGGAGACTCGGGACGGGAGACTCGGGACGGGAGACTCACAGGTGAACTGCTGCTCCCACTCCGTCAGACTCTCCAGCTGCATGTGGTTGAGGTCTGAGAGGTCGTCGTGCTCCTCCTTCAGCGCCTCCTTCTCCAAACAGAACGTGGCCAAACCGCGGGAAGCATCTCTGCCGGCGAACACTCCGTACGGGCCGTCTGCACAGACACATACACACAGTATTAAACACACTGGTCCTGGTTTATGACAGGGGTGATGTGTTCTAAAACTAACACTATAAAAAGGTACATCCTCTCAGAGGCAGCTGTAGATCCCTCACTCTACCAACCACCTGAACTCATACACCAGAGAGAGAGAGAGGGAGAGGGAGAGACCCTAGAGAGAGAGAGAGAGAGAGAGACAGAGAGAGAGAGACAGAGACAGAGAGACAGAGAGACAGAGAGACAGAGAGACAGAGAGAGACAGAGAGACAGAGAGACAGAGAGAGAGACAGAGACAGAGAGAGACAGAGAGACAGACAGAGAGAGAAAGACAGAGAGAGAGAGACAGAGACAGAGAGAGAGACTAGAAGGAGAAAAACTAACCATCCATCATCAGTATGTGGGAACATACATTCATGTATTAGAAATGCACTTCACTGGATCAGAACCTGCTCCAGAATCTGTCCTCACTTCAGAACCATGTCTCAGTCTCTGCTCTGGAACATTCTGTTTGGTTCAGTTTCTGACACTCGCCCAGGAACAAGTTGGTCAGAAAAGAACGCAGTGAAGATAAGAAAAACTTTTAGCCATTGAAGAAGATGACAAAGTCTGGGATCGCGTCTTTCATTCAGACAGAAGACATGTTTTATTGTCGATGGTAGAGACAGCACGAACAACACGAACACAGATACAACAGAATGCAAGTGTATTATACAGAGCGTTGGCATGGAGACCTCCAATCAGCAGCTGCCACAGTGCCATGTAGCTTGGCCTTCAGATAGACACAACAAGGGAAAAGTACAGGCTTCTGCACATTGATAGAATGATGAGTTTAACTTTAACAAAAGTTGCTTAAAAGTGTTATGAAATCTCACACCATAAAGAGGTCGAGTCCATGCCTGAGGACTGAGATCAGGCCGTAGAGCAGACAGTTTTCCCCAGAGATATTTTCTTGAGGCTCAAAGGGCAGAACGCTACTTCTTTAAGCTAATTAGATAGATTGACCACACACTCTATACAGATGCTAATGCTAACACAGACTGTATACAGATGCTAATGCTAACAGAGTGTAGACTTCACTATTGGGCTACATTGAGCTAGCTGTTTAGCTATAAAAACCCATCCATATAAAGTCTATGGCTTATATCCTGGGTCTGCATGTGTGAGAAAGTCTGCCATCTTTCCACCAACACGACCTCCTCCACTTTAGAAGCAGGTGTATGAATAATGCAGACATCAGCGAGACTGAAACCAGAAAGTCCCCTCGGAGTGTTTGTTATTCAGATGGAGGTGTGAAAAGGTCATAAATACAGGTTTTGCTTCTGATCGCTGTGGTCCAAATATCGCTCCTTTAGTCGAAATTACAGCTTTTAACGACCTTGACTTGGCCCCTCTCCCTCTGGCCCCTCTCCCTCTGGCCCCTCTCCCTCTGGCCCCTCTCCCTCTGGCCCCTCTCCCTCTGGCCCCTCTCCCTCTGGCCCCTCTCCCTCTGGCCCCTCTCCCTCTGGCCCCTCTCCCTCTGGCCCCTCTCCCTCCGGCCTCTCTCCCTCCGGCCTCCTCTCCCTCCGGCCTCTCTCCCTCCGGCCTCTCTCCCTCCGGCCTCTCTCCCTCCGGCCTCTCTCCCTCCGGCCTCTCTCCCTCCGGCCTCTCTCCCTCCGGCCTCTCTCCCTCCGGCCTCTCTCCCTCCGGCCTCTCTCCCTCCGGCCTCTCTCCCTCCGGCCTCTCTCCCTCCGGCCTCTCTCCCTCCGGCCTCTCTCCCTCCGGCCTCCTCCTCCGGCCTCCCCTCCGGCCTCCCTCCCTCCGGCCTCCCTCCCTCCGGCCTCCCTCCCTCCGGCCTCCCTCCCTCCGGCCTCCCTCCCTCCGGCCTCTCTCCCTCCGGCCTCTCTCCCTCCCGCCTCTCTCCCTCCGGCCTCTCTCCCTCCGGCCTCTCTCCCTCCGGCCTCTCTCCCTCCGGCCTCTCTCCCTCTGGCCTCTCTCCCTCTCTGGCCTCTCTCCCTCTCTGGCCTCTCTCCCTCTCTGGCCTCTCTCCCTCTCTGGCCTCTCTCCCTCTCTGGCCTCTCTCCCTCTCTGGCCTCTCTCCCTCTCTGGCCTCTCTCCCTCTCTGGCCTCTCTCCCTCTCTGGCCTCTCTCCCTCTCTGGCCTCTCTCCCTCTCTGGCCTCTCTCCCTCTGGCCTCTCTCCCTCTGGCCTCTCTCCCTCTGGCCTCTCTCCCTCTGGCCTCTCTCCCTCTGGCCTCTCTCCCTCTGGCCTCTCTCCCTCTGGCCTCTCTCCCTCTGGCCTCTCTCCCTCTGGCCTCTCTCCCTCTGGCCTCTCTCCCTCTGGCCTCTCTCCCTCTGGCCTCTCTCCCTCTGGCCTCTCTCCCTCTCCCTCTCTCCCTCTGGCCTCTCTCCCTCTGGCCTCTCTCCCTCTGGCCTCTCTCCCTCTGGCCTCTCTCGTCTCCCTCTGGCCTCTCTCCCTCTGGCCTCTCTCCCTCTGGCCTCTCTCCCTCTGGCCTCTCTCCCTCTGGCCTCTCTCCCTCTGGCCTCTCTCCCTCTGGCCTCTCTCCCTCTGGCCTCTCTCCCTCTGGCCTCTCTCCCTCTGGCCTCTCTCCCTCTGGCCTCTCTCTCTCTGGCCTCTCTCTCTCTGGCCTCTCTCCCTCTGGCCTCTCTCCCTCTGGCCTCTCTCCCTCTGGCCTCTCTCCCTCTGGCCTCTCTCCCTCTGGCCTCTCTCCCTCTGGCCTCTCTCCCTCTCTGGCCATGGCTCAACTGCTGCTCAATCTGATTTTCTAACCTGCTATCGGCAAATCCACAACTCAGCAGCACTTTAATACGACTTATTGTGATTTTAAGCAGTAGAAAAACACCAACACTTTCTGTACAGTCACTGTGTGTGTGAACAGATCCAGGCGCAGCTTCAAAGACAACACACGCTCCAGTTTCAGGGACAAACTTTAGATTTTACAGATTCAAGGCTGTTGTGAAACACTGCCTCGGGTCACCTCCAGGGGGCGTGGCCACAGCTCTATGGACTTTAAACTCATGTAAACGCGAACGGAGCAAGACGTCCAGGAGAATGATGTGGAGGGAGAGCAGACAGACCTGTGTTAATAACCACTGCGTAGTCTGTGCGTGACGTAACGACGTTCTTTAAAGCTAGGGTACGTAACTTTGATACATGTGGGGACTAGGCACCAACAGAAAGACCTTATAAACATTTATAAAAATAAAAACACGCTGCTTTCATCCCATTTAGAAAACATGTTTACATACTTGTAGGAAAGACCCACAAGTCTGTCTGTGACTATAATAGACACTGATCCACAGGGAGGTTGCGCTGTCACAGCAGCTTGCTTAGTATTTCACAATAAAAAATATATCAAAAATACAATCTGAGAATAAGAAGAGCTGATTGGCTGAGTGAGCCCTTTACCTTTAACTTTCAGGTCTGAAAAAGCGGATTTAAAGAAGTGACTGAGGCCAAACTTATGAAAGTGAAAACTAGGGAGGTAGAAGAGGAGGGCTTTGAGAGCGAGGGACTAACCAGGTCTAAACAAAGTCCAAAGTAGGTCTAAAGCAGGGTTAAACAATGTCTAAAGAAGGTCCAAAACCAGGTCTGAAGTAGGTCCGAAACCAGGTCTGAAGTAGGTCCGAAACATGTCTAAATATAGATTTTATTACCTGCATAGTTAGTGCTATTGATGTAGTGTGAAAGTTCGGGACCCCAGCTTTAATCGCACACGCACACGCACATGCACATGCACACGCACACGCACACATTACCTGGTCCGTAGAACTTCTTGCCTCTGGTCACATCGAACACTTTCCCGTTCACGGACATGAGAATGCGTTCGTTCTGCAGCCCGTCGAAAGGCTTCAGCTCCTGCAGGGTGAAGTCCCTCTTCGGGAGCCTGGGCAGAGCCTCCACCCGCTCCCCCAGCTCCGGCTGTCGGTCCCCGCGGAAGAGCTTATAAACCAGGAACAGGCACAGGCTGAGGAGGGTGAGGTTCAGCGGGGACGTGAAGATCTCCTGCAGGATCCCCACACCGGAGCTCGCCTCGGTCGTCTCTGCTTCGGCCATGTTGGAGGTTGTGACTCAAGTGGCGTCCCTGGCGAGTTTGGCTAAGTGTGCACGGGTCAGCCAATCAGAGCGAAGAGGCAACTGTTTCAGCCAATCAGATGCGTCGAAACTTGAAGGTTACCTGTTACTGTTTAGTTTGGGCTTTAACGAGTTAGGAAAACAAACGTCTGTGAATGAAATGTTTGCAAAGGTACACTTTTAGTCTTGTGTGTGTGTGTGTGTGTGTGCGTGCGCGTGTGCGTGTGCGTGTGCGTGTGTGTGTGTGTACTGCAGAGTAACATTACGTAACACATTTACAGTCTGTGGTGATGCATCAGAGACAACAGATAAGTGCTGATGAAATTAGGACAAACGTCTTTCAGTGAAACAGAACTGGGTCTAAAACTGCTTTTAGGAACTTAGGAGAGAGAGGTGTTGTTTTTATTTATTAGACTCACTATTATTATTATTATTACTATTATCATTATTATTATTATTATTATTATTATTATTATTATTATTATTATTATTATTATTATTATCATTCATTGTGCTTTAGTCCTTTTTTCCCAAACATTTAAATACAACTTTTATTGTCGTGTCTGCTCCTGGTGCTTGTTCATGGTTTTACTTTTTACTTTTATGTTGACTTTTCACTAGTGTACAGTGTGTCACATCTTTAAATCAGCTTTTGCAGTCTCCTCATTCAGCAGCTCTCAGCCCAAATGGTCCAATAGTGACTCCTAACCCCTGCAGACTCACTCCTGACCCCTACAGACTCACTCCTGACCTCTGCAGACTCACTCCTGACCTCTACAGATTCACTCCTGACCCCTACAGACTCACTCCTGACCTCTACAGACTCACTCCTGACCCCTACAGACTCACTCCTGACCCTGCAGACTCACTCTTGACCCCTGCAGACTCACTCCTGACCCCTGCAGACTCACTCCTGACCCCTGCAGACTCACTCCTGACCCCTGCAGACTCACTCCTGACCCCCGCAGACTCACTCCTGACCTCTGCAGACTCACTCCTGACCTCTGCAGACTCACTCCTGACCCCCGCAGACTCACTCCTGACCCCCGCAGACTCACTCCTGACCCCTACAGACTCACTCCTGACCCCTACAGACTCACTCCTGACCCCTGCAGACTCACTCCTGACCCCTACAGACTCACTCCTGACCCCTGCAGACTTACTCCTGACCCCTACAGACTCACTCCTGACCCCTGCAGACTCAATCTTGACCCCTGCAGACTCACTCCTGAACCCTGCAGACTCACTCCTGACCCTGCAGACTCACTCCTGACCCCTGCAGACTCACTCCTGACCCCTGCAGACTCACTCCTCCTGACCCTGCAGACTCACTCTTGACCCCTGCAGACTCACTCCTGACCTCTGCAGACTCACTCCTGACCCCTACAGACTCACTCCTGACCCTGCAGACTCACTCCTGACCTCTGCAGACTCACTCCTGACCCCTACAGACTCACTCCTGACCCCTGCAGACTCACTCCTGACCCTGCAGACTCACTCCTGACCCCTGCCAACTTACTCCTGACCCCTGCAGACTCACTCCTGACCCTGCAGACTCACTCCTGACCCCTACAGACTCACTCCTGACCCCTTCAGACTCACTCCTGACCCCTACAGACTCACTCCTGACCCCCGTAGACTCACTCCTGACCCCTGCAGACTCAATCCTGACCCCCGTAGACTCACTCCTGACCCCTGCAGACTCAATCCTGACCCCTACAGACTCACTCCTAACCCCTGCAGACTCACTCCTGACCCCTGCAGACTCACTCCTGACCCTGCAGACTCACTCCTGACCCTGCAGACTCACTCCTGACCCCTGCAGACTCACTCCTGACCCCTACAGACTCACTCCTGACCCCTGCAGACTCACTCCTAACCCCTACAGACTCACTCCTGACCCCCGTAGACTCACTCCTGACCCCTACAGACTCACTCCTGACCCCTACAGACTCACTCCTGACCCCCGCAGACTCACTCCTGACCCCTACAGACTCACTCCTGATCCCTGCAGACTCACTCCTGACCCCTACAGACTCACTCCTGACCCCTACAGACTCACTCCTGACCCCTACAGACTCACTCCTGACCCTGCAGACTCACTCCTGACCCTGCAGACTCACTCCTGACCCCTACAGACTCTCTCCTGACCTCTGCAGACTCACTCCTGACCCCTACAGACTCACTCCTGACCCCTACAGACTCACTCCTGACCCTACAGACTCACTCCTGACCCCTGCAGACTCACTCCTGACCCCTGCAGACTCACTCCTGACCTCTGCAGACTCACTCCTGACCCCTACAGACTCACTCCTGACCCCCGTAGACTCACTCCTGACCCCTACAGACTCACTCCTGACCCCTGCAGACTCACTCCTGACCCCTACAGACTCACTCCTGACCCCTACAGACTCACTCCTGACCCCTACAGACTCACTCCTGACCTCTGCAGACTCACTCCTGACCCCTACAGACTCACTCCTGACCTCTGCAGACTCACTCCTGACCCCTACAGACTCACTCCTGACCCCTACAGACTCACTCCTGACCTCTGCAGACTCACTCCTGACCCCTGCAGACTCACTCCTGACCCCTACAGACTCACTCCTGACCCCCGCAGACTCACTCCTGACCCCTACAGACTCACTCCTGACCCCTACAGACTCACTCCTGACACATGCAGACTCACTCCTGACCCCTACAGACTCTGGACTCTTTGGTCAGAGTTATGCTCAGATCTCTGTGGATTTTGTCTCTTTTTGGGTCGGAATAAACAGATGGAGCCGACAGGCAGTGTGACCAGAATAGTGGTCTGAGTACTTTCTGATAAAAGTTCTAGTTCTAGAACATGAACATGATCACAGCACAGGGACTCTGAGGAGCACAGGGACTGGCCTCCTGCCGGGACTCTGGGGAGCACAGGGACTGACAGGCTTCTGCTCAGTTCTGTTTCACTGCAACAACTGAATGGTTTCACTCTGTTTAAATAAGTATGATTATTTATGAATTAAATGTTATTTTCCTTTCTTGTTTTGTGTTGTGAATTGCGCTAAACAAATAAACAGAACTTATTTAAATAAATGTAAGCCTTATTTTTGTTATTGTGTTTAAGAAGAAACAGCATTTTTTAAAGCGTTTATTTTACTTTTTAATTCTTACAACATCCGTCCGTTGTCTCACACTTCCGGTCCTCCGTCTCGAAACCGCACCACTTTCGCTTAGTTCCGCCCGTATCAAACAAACGCTCCTGGGGACTGAACGTAACTGCTTTTCTTCTCAGTCGCTCTTAATTAAATCAAAACATTTTTATACAAATCATTCGTCTTCTTTTCAGTGCGATAAAGGTGTTTTCTGTGTGACACTGGCCTCTGCTGTGGTCCGAGCTGCTGCTGTTTCCATTTCGCAACAACAACAGAAGCAGCAGGAGCCTCATCACCGCCTTTTACCCACAACTAAGCTCTCTCTCCCGGGGTCTGAGTCCTGAACACGGCATGGAAGACTCTCTCTAACACAGCCTGGTGCAGCCGCAGGACCTTCTCTCATGAGTCTGATTTAGATCAAACTGGGTGAGTACACAATGTTTTCCTAAAGCTTGAGTTTCCCACCGCTGTTTCCGGTCCCGTTTCCAACAGAACCACGCAGTACTAACCCTAAACCTATAGATTATCAGTATGTCTGTAATAAAGCATTCTTATTTTTGCCGTTTGCAGTAAAACCACATTGGAATACACGTGCAAAGGTCCCAGGTGTGCACAGGACAAGTACAGACACGAACAAAGGTCAAAGGTCCAGGAACTTTACTGATAAAAGTGCTGGAAATTGATCAACTACAACATATACAAGTGCATGGTCATTAAAGTGCTCTTTCTGGTCTCTCTCTGGTCTCTCTCTCTGGTGTCTTTGGTCTTTCTGCTCTCTCTTTCTGGTCTAGTCTCTCTCTGGTCTCTTTCTGGTCTGGTCTCTCTCTGGTCTCTCTCTCTGGTCTCTTTCTGGTCTGGTCTCTCTCTGGTCTCTTTCTGGTCTGGTCTCTCTCTGGTCTCTTTCTGGTCTCTCTCTCTGGTCTCTTTCTGGTCTAGTCTCTCTCTCTGGTCTCTCTCTCTGCTCTCTTTCTGGTCTCTCTCTGGTCCCTCTCTAGTCTCTCTCTGGTATCTCTAGTCTCTCTCTCTGGTCTCTCTCTCTCTGCTCTCTTTCTGGTCTCTCTCTGGTCCCTCTCTAGTCTCTCTCTGGTCCCTCTGGTCTCTCTAGTCTCTCTCTGGTCTCTCTGGTCTCTCTCTGGTCCCTCTCTGGTCTCTTTCTGGTCTCTCTCTGGTCTCTCTGGGGGAACTATTCTTGAGTTATTTGGTCTCATTCTGTTTAAATCCTTGATGTAACTGTGAGTCCAGACCAGAGACTCGAACCCATGTCCTGCAGATTCAACAGATTATCTCTCTCCTCTCTATGAACTACTTACATTGTGTTTTATCTAACCTGATTCTGGACATACTCCAGAATGTCCTGGTTTTATAAAGCTTCTCTCGCAGCACATGGTTTGTTTGGCACTTTCACTTTCATTGAAACTGAGACTAGAGCCCGAGACTAGAGCCCGAGACTAGAGCCCGAGACTAGAGCCCGAGACTAGAGCCCGAGACTAGAGCCCGAGACTAGAGCCCGAGACTAGAGCCCGAGACTAGAGCCCGAGACTAGAGCCCGAGACTAGAGCCCGAGACATGCAAACTCCACACACAGAAAGGTGGTGGTGTGCTAACCGCTGCACCATTTGACGCCCAGACCCAGACTCAGTCTTGAGACAGAGTCTGGGTCTCTGGTTCTAGAGTCTGGTTCTAGAGTCTGGGTCTCTGGTTCTAGAGTCTGGGTCTCTGGTTCTAGAGTCTGGGTCTCTGGTTCTAGAGTCTGGTTCATATGTTTATGAGGCGGAACTGAGGACCTGCGGGGTTTTCTGTGGTGACTTGTTCCACGAGGAGACTTCCTGTTTACTTCCTGTTTACTTCCTGTTTGTGTTCCACTTTGAATCTCTCCATCTCTGACACTCAGGCTTCAGTCCACAAATCTGTAAACTCACTAAACGACTGTTCCTAAAACCTCCCAGAATGGCTGAGTGTTTAGCTTCTCAGCAAGAAGGTCCTGGGCTGGAATCCCGGTCGGAACAGGGCCTTTCTGAGTGGAGTTTGCATGCTCTCCTTGTGTCTGCGTAGGTTTCCTCCGGGTGCTCCGGTTTCCCCCTAACATGTACAATAGTTCTGTGCCTCCTGTACTGGCCCCTCCCATCTCTGTGTGGAGTCAGAGACTAATGCCCACAATTATAAACCGCTTTGACTCTGGTCTGAGAAAGGCACTATATAAATAAACATTACTTACTACTTACTTACTTATGAATAAACAAGGAACAATCAGTGACGTATGAGAAACAGAAATTACAAGTGACTGTACCAGGACTGAGTGTGACATCACCATCGAGCAGAGCAGGTGGAAATATACAGTGCCTTGCGAAAGTATTCGGCCCCCTTGAACCTTTCAACATTTCGCCACATTTCAGTCTTCAAACATAAAGATATAAAATTTAATTTTTTTGTCATGAATCAACAACAAGTGGGACACAATCGTGAAGTGGAACGAAATTTATTGGATAATTTAAACTTTTTTAACAAATAAAAAACTGAAAAGTGGGGCGTGCAATATTATTGGGCCCCTTTACTTTCAGTGCAGCAAACTCAGTCCAGAAGTTCAGTGAGGATCTTTGAATGATCCAATGTTGTCCTAAATGACTGATGATGATAAATAGAATGCACCTGTGTGTAATCAAGTCTCCGTATAAATGCACCTGCTCTTTGATAGTCTCAGGGTTCTGTTTAAAGCGCAGAGAGAACCATGAAGACAAAGGAACACACCAGGCAGGTCCGAGATACTGTTGTGGAGAAGTTTAAAGCCGGATTTGGAAACAAAAAGATTTCCCAAGCTTTAAACATCTCAAGGAGCACTGTGCAAGCAATTATATTGAAATGGAAGGAGTATCAGACCACTGCAAATCTACCAAGACCCGGCCGTCCCTCCAAACTTTCATCTCAAACAAGGAGAAGACTGATCAGAGATGCAGCCAAGAGGCCCATGATCACTCTGGATGAACTGCAGATAACTACAGCTGAGGGAGAGTCTGTCCATAGGACAACAATCAGTCGTGCACTGCACAAATCTGGCCTTTATGGAAGAGTGGCAAGAAGAAAGCCATTTCTCAAAGATATCCATAAAAAGTCTTGTTTAAAGTTTGTCACAAGCCACCTGGGAGACACACCAAACATGTGGAAGAAGGTGCTCTGGTCAGATGAAACCAAAATCCAACTTTTTGGCCACAATGCAAAACGATATGTTTGGCGTAAAAGCAACACAGCTCATCACCCTGAACACACCATCCCCACTGTCAAACATGGTGGTGGCAGCATCATGCTTTGGGCCTGCTTTTCTTCAGCAGGGACAGGGAAGATGACTAAATTGATGGGAAGATGGATGGAGCCAAATACAGGACCATTCTGGAAGAAAACCTGTTGGAGTCTGCAAAAGACCTGAGACTGGGACAGAGATTTATCTTCCAACAGGACAATGATCCAAAACATAAAGCCAAATCTACAATGGAATGGTTCACAAATAGATGTATCCAGGTGTTAGAATGGCCAAGTCAAAGTCCAGACCTGAATCCAATCGAGAATCTGTGGAAAGAGCTGAAGACTGCTGTTCACAAACGCTCTCCATCCAACCTCACTGAGCTCCAGCTGTTTTGCAAGGAAGAATGGGAAAGAATTCCAGTCTCTCGATGTGCAAAACAGATAGAGACATACCCCAAGCGACTTGCAGCTGTAATTGCAGCAAAAGGTGTCGCTACAAAGTATTAGCGCAAGGGGCCGAATAATATTGCACGCCCCACTTCTCAGTTTTTTATTTGTTAAAAAAGTTTAAATTATCCAATAAATTTCGTTCCACTTCACGATTGTGACCCACTTGTTGTTGATTCTTGACAAAAAAATTAGTTTTTATATCTTTATGTTTGAAGCCTGAAATGTGGCGAAATGTTGAAAGGTTCAAGGGGGCCGAATACTTTCGCAAGACACTGTAGGTTCCTCAGCTTTAACGACAGTGTAATCGTACTACTCTGTAAAAATACACTCTTTGATGAAACATATTAGTTTGACCCAGTCACCACGGCGACACATTATACTTTGGACTCGATCTGAGAAGGTTCTGGTTCCATAACTCCAGCTGGTTCCGTGTTTCTCAACCCTCGGCCCGTCACTGATCCTCTCTCTCTCCTCCTACAGTCTTGTTCGTGGTCTTGTTCGTGGTCTGGTCGTGGGTGAGTGGCACGGCGGTGGACCCCCGGCTGTAGCGCCCCCTTGTGGACATGTGTGCGATGAAGGTCGATGTCAAAGTGGTGATGCTGGGGAAGGAGAGCGTGGGGAAAACCAGCCTCGTTGAGAGATACGTGCACAACCGCTTCCTGGTCGGACCCTACCAGAACGTAAGCCCCCCGTACCGGCACGCAATCTCCCCGTACCGGAACGTAAGCTCCCCGTACCGGAACGTAAGCTCCCCGTACCAGAACGTAAGCCCCCCTTACCGGCACGCAATCTCCCCGTACCGGAACGTAAGCTCCCCGTACCAGAACGTAAGCTCCCCGTACCAGAACGTAAGCTCCCCGTACCAGAACGTAAGCTCCCCGTACCAGAACGTAAGCTCCCCGTACCAGAACGTAAGCTCCCCGTACCAGAACATAAGCTCCCCGTACCGGAACAAAAGCTCCCCGTACCAGAACGTAAGCTCCCCGTACCAGAACGTAAGCTCCCCGTACCAGAACGTAAGCTCCCCGTACCAGAACGTAAGCTCCCCGTACCAGAACGTAAGCTCCCCGTACCAGAACGTAAGCTCCCCGTACCAGAACGTAAGCTCCCCGTACCAGAACGTAAGCTCCCCGTACCAGAACGTAAGCTCCCCGTACCAGAACGTAAGCTCCCCGTACCAGAACGTAAACTCCCCGTACCAGAACGTAAGCTCCCCTTACCAGAACGTAAGCTCCCCGTACCGGCACGCAATCTCCCTGTACTGGAACGTAAGCTCCCCGTACCGGAACGTAAGCTCCCCGTGTACCAGAATATAAGCTCCCCGTACCAGAACGTACCAGAACGTAAGCTCCCCGTACCAGAACGTACCAGAACGTAAGCTCCCCGTACCAGAACGTAAGCTCCCCGTACCGGAACGTAAGCTCCCCGTGTACCAGAATATAAGCTCCCCGTACCAGAACGTACCAGAACGTAAGCTCCCCGTACCAGAACGTACCAGAACGTAAGCTCCCCGTACCAGAACGTAAGCTCCCCGTACCAGAACGTACCAGAACGTAAGCTCCCCGTACCGGAACGTAAGCTCCCCGTACCGGAACGTAAGCTCCCCGTACCGGAACGTAAGCTCCCCGTACCGGAACGTAAGCTCCCCGTACCGGAACGTAAGCTCCCCGTACCGGAACGTAAGCTCCCCGTACCAGAACGTACCGGAACGTAAGCTCCCCGTACCAGATGTATCCAGTCTGTGTTTCCTATGCTAAAGGCTAACGCAGAACGTCCATGAGCACTTCCCTCTTGTGCTACATTGAGCTAGCGTGTTAGCTAGCGTGTTAGCTAGCGTGTTAGCTAGCGTGTTAGCTAGCGTGTTAGCTTTGTCTATCTTTATAGTCAGAGGGAATCTGTCATTTATCCCAAACGTCTTCCCAGTGACTCACATGTGACACATTCTTCCCCAGACGATCGGAGCTGCGTTTGTGGCCAAAGCCATTCAGGTCGGAGACAAAGTCATCACTCTGGGAATCTGGGTGAGTGTCACATCTGCCCTACATCTGCCCTACATCTGCCCTACATCTGCCCTACATCTGCCCTACATCTGCCCTACATCTGCCCTACATCTGCCCTACATCTGCACTACATCTGCCCTACATCTGCCCCACACCTGCCCTACATCTGCACTACATCTGCCCTACATCTGCCCTACATCTGCCCCACATCTGCCCTACATCTGCACTACATCTGCCCTACATCTGCCCTACATCTGCCCTACATCTGCCCTACATCTGCCCTACATCTGCACTACATCTGCCCTACATCTGCCCCACATCTGCCCTACATCTGCCCTACATTTGCCCCACATCTGCCCTACATCTGCCCTACATCTGCCCCACATCTGCCCTACATCTGCCCTACATCTGCCCTACATCTGCCCCACATCTGCCCTACATCTGCACTACATCTGCCCTACATCTGCCCTACATCTGCCCTACATCTGCCCCACATCTGCCCTACATCTGCCCTACATCTGCCCTACATCTGCCCCACATCTGCCCTACATCTGCCCTACATCTGCCCTACATCTGCCCTACATCTGCCCCACACCTGCCCTACATCTGCCCCACATCTGCCCTACATCTGCACTACATCTGCCCTACATCTGCCCTACATCTGCCCTACATCTGCCCCACATCTGCCCTACATCTGCCCCACACCTGCCCTACATCTGCCCTACATCTGCCCTACATCTGCCCTACATCTGCCCTACATCTGCCCCACACCTGCCCTACGTCTGCCCTACACCTGCCCTACATCTGCCCTACATCTGCCCTACATCTGCCCCACATCTGCCCCACACCTGCCCTACGTCTGCCCCACACCTGCCCTACATCTGCCCCACACCTGCCCTACATCTGCCCTACATCTGCCCTACACCTGCCCTACATCTGCCCCACATCTGCCCCACATCTGCCCTACATCTGCCCTACATCTGCCCTACATCTGCCCTACATCTGCCCTACATCTGCCCCACACCTGCCCTACATCTGCCCTACATCTGCCCTACATCTGCCCCACACCTGCCCTACGTCTGCCCTACACCTGCCCTACGTCTGCCCTACACCTGCCCTACATCTGCCCCACACCTGCCCTACATCTGCCCCACATCTGCAAGTATAAAATCTCTAGCTTTAGCATAATAAAGAAGCTAGTCTAAAATATCTAGCTTTAGCATAATAAAGAAGCTAGTATAAAATGTCTAGCTTTAGCATAATAAAGAAGCTAGTATAAAATATCTAGCTTTAGCATAATAAAGAAGCTAGTCTAAAATATTTAGCTTTAGCATAATAAAGAAGCTAGTATAAAATATTTAGCTTTAGCATAATAAAGAAGCTAGTCTAAAATATTTAGCTTTAGCATAATAAAAAGGCTAGTATAAAATCTTATATTGCAGCTTCTGACATAAGTTTGCTAGTCCTCATTGTTCGTTGTACAGTCCGACAGCAGCAGAAAGATAAAACCTGTGGAACCTCTCCTTCACACAGCGAGGGTGGATCAGTCTGTCACTGAAGCTGCCCTCCAGCTAACTGTTCAGTCTCTTCTTCGTACGTAGCGTGTGCGGTTTGGTCGGACATTAAATCTGTTTGTCTGAATAATTGAACACAGAATTGTAGTGGATTGTTGTTGTAAGTGTGTGTATAAAGTTATTTGGGTTGAATTTCCAGGACACTGCGGGATCAGAGAGATATGAAGCAATGAGTCGCATTTACTACAGAGGAGCCCGAGCCGCCGTCGTCTGCTACGGTACGCCACCTGGTTTTGATGGTTTTGATGGTTTTGATGGTTTTATTATTTTTATTACAGTAAAAACTATTGTCTGTTTGCATGTTATTCCTCACTTCTACCACCAGAGGGAGATTTTCCATTTCTGATTTTAAGGGAAAAGATTTATGAGGCTTCAGACCAGAGAAGGAGAGACCCAAGAGAGGGAGAGACCCAAGAGAGGGAGAGACCAGAGAGGGAGAGACCAGAGAGGGAGAGACCAGAGAGGGAGAGACCAGAGAGGGAGAGACCCGAGAGGGAGAGACCTGAGAGAGGGAGAGACCAGAGAGGGAGAGACCAGAGAGAGGGAGAGACCAGAGAGAGGGAGAGACCAGAGAGGGAGAGACCCGAGAGAGGGAGAGACCCGAGAGAGGGAGAGACCCGAGAGAGGGAGAGACCCGAGAGAGGGAGAGACCAGAGAGGGAGAGACCAGAGAGGGAGAGACCAGAGAGGGAGAGACCAGAGAGGGAGAGACCAGAGAGGGAGAGACCAGAGAGGGAGAGACCAGAGAGGGAGAGACCAGAGAGGGAGAGACCAGAGAGGGAGAGACCAGAGAGGGAGAGACCAGAGAGGGAGAGACCAGAGAGGGAGAGACCAGAGAGGGAGAGACCAGAGAGGGAGAGACCAGAGAGGGAGAGACCAGAGAGGGAGAGACCAGAGAGGGAGAGACCAGAGAGGGAGAGACCAGAGAGGGAGAGACCAGAGAGGGAGAGACCAGAGAGGGAGAGACCAGAGAGGGAGAGACCAGAGAGGGAGAGACCAGAGAGGGAGAGACCAGAGAGGGAGAGACCAGAGAGGGAGAGACCAGAGAGGGAGAGACCAGAGAGGGAGAGACCAGAGAGGGAGAGACCAGAGAGGGAGAGACCAGAGAGGGAGAGAGACCAGAGAGGGAGAGACCAGAGAGGGAGAGACCAGAGAGGGAGAGACCAGAGAGGGAGAGACCAGAGAGGGAGAGACCAGAGAGGGAGAGACCAGAGAGGGAGAGACCAGAGAGGGAGAGACCAGAGAGGGAGAGACCAGAGAGGGAGAGACCAGAGAGGGAGAGACCAGAGAGGGAGAGACCAGAGAGGGAGAGACCAGAGAGGGAGAGACCAGAGAGGGAGAGACCAGAGAGGGAGAGACCAGAGAGGGAGAGACCAGAGAGGGAGAGACCAGAGAGGGAGAGACCAGAGAGGGAGAGACCAGAGAGGAGAGAGACCAGAGAGGGAGAGAGAGACCAGAGAGGGAGAGAGACCAGAGAGGGAGAGAGACCAGAGAGGGAGAGAGACCAGAGAGGGGGAGAGACCAGAGAGGGGGAGAGACCCGAGAGAGGGGAGAGACCCAGAGAGAGGGAGAGACCAGAGAGAGGGAGAGACCAGAGAGGGGGAGAGACCAGAGAGGGGGAGAGACCAGAGAGGAGAGAGGAGAGGGGAGAGACCAGAGGGGAGAGACCAGAGAGGGAGAGACCAGAGAGGGAGAGACCAGAGAGGGAGAGACCAGAGAGGGAGAGACCAGAGAGGGGAGAGACCAGAGAGAGAGAGAGAGACCAGGAGAGAGACCAGAGAGGGAGAGAGACCAGAGAGGGAGAGAGACCAGAGAGGGAGAGAGACCAGAGAGGGAGAGAGACCAGAGAGAGGAGAGAGACCAGAGAGGGAGAGAGACCAGAGAGAGGGAGAGAGACCAGAGAGGGAGAGACCCCAGAGAGGGAGAGAGACCAGAGAGGGAGAGAGACCAGAGAGAGGAGAGAGAGAGAGAGAGAGACCAGAGAGAGACCAGAGAGAGACCAGAGAGAGAGACCAGAGAGAGACCAGAGAGAGACCAGAGAGAGACCAGAGAGAGACCAGAGAGAGACCAGAGAGAGAGACCAGAGAGAGAGACCAGAGAGAGAGACCAGAGAGAGAGACCAGAGAGAGACCAGAGAGAGACCAGAGAGAGAGACCAGAGAGAGACCAGAGAGAGACCAGAGAGAGACCAGAGAGAGAGACCAGAGAGAGACCAGAGAGAGAGACCAGAGAGAGAGACCAGAGAGAGAGACCAGAGAGAGAGACCAGAGAGAGACCAGAGAGAGACCAGAGAGAGACCAGAGAGAGACCAGAGAGAGAGACCAGAGAGAGACCAGAGAGAGACCAGAGAGAGAGACCAGAGAGAGAGAGACCAGAGAGAGACCAGAGAGAGAGACCAGAGAGAGACCAGAGAGAGACCAGAGAGAGAGACCAGAGAGAGACCAGAGAGAGACCAGAGAGAGACCAGAGAGAGACCAGAGAGAGACCAGAGAGAGAGACCAGAGAGAGAGACCAGAGAGAGACCAGAGAGAGACCAGAGAGAGAGACCAGAGAGAGAGACCAGAGAGAGACCAGAGAGAGACCAGAGAGAGAGACCAGAGAGAGACCAGAGAGAGAGACCAGAGAGAGACCAGAGAGAGACCAGAGAGAGAGACCAGAGAGAGACCAGAGAGAGACCAGAGAGAGAGACCAGAGAGAGACCAGAGAGAGACCAGAGAGAGACCAGAGAGAGACCAGAGAGAGACCAGAGAGAGACCAGAGAGAGACCAGAGAGAGACCAGAGAGAGACCAGAGAGAGACCAGAGAGAGAGACCAGAGAGAGACCAGAGAGAGAGACCAGAGAGAGAGACCAGAGAGAGACCAGAGAGAGACCAGAGAGAGACCAGAGAGAGACCAGAGAGAGACCAGAGAGAGACCAGAGAGAGAGACCAGAGAGAGACCAGAGAGAGAGACCAGAGAGAGACCAGAGAGAGAGACCAGAGAGAGACCAGAGAGAGAGACCAGAGAGAGACCAGAGAGAGAGACCAGAGAGAGACCAGAGAGAGAGACCAGAGAGAGAGACCAGAGAGAGACCAGAGAGAGACCAGAGAGAGAGACCAGAGAGAGAGACCAGAGAGAGACCAGAGAGAGACCAGAGAGAGACCAGAGAGAGACCAGAGAGAGACCAGAGAGAGAGACCAGAGAGAGACCAGAGAGAGAGACCAGAGAGAGACCAGAGAGAGACCAGAGAGAGAGACCAGAGAGAGACCAGAGAGAGAGACCAGAGAGAGACCAGAGAGAGACCAGAGAGAGACCAGAGAGAGAGACCAGAGAGAGAGACCAGAGAGAGAGACCAGAGAGAGAGACCAGAGAGAGACCAGAGAGAGACCAGAGAGAGAGACCAGAGAGAGAGACCAGAGAGAGACCAGAGAGAGAGACCAGAGAGAGACCAGAGAGAGAGACCAGAGAGAGAGACCAGAGAGAGACCAGAGAGAGACCAGAGAGAGACCAGAGAGAGAGACCAGAGAGAGAGACCAGAGAGAGACCAGAGAGAGACCAGAGAGAGACCAGAGAGAGAGACCAGAGAGAGAGACCAGAGAGAGACCAGAGAGAGAGACCAGAGAGAGACCAGAGAGAGACCAGAGAGAGAGACCAGAGAGAGAGACCAGAGAGAGAGAGACCAGAGAGAGAGACCAGAGAGAGACCAGAGAGAGAGACCAGAGAGAGACCAGAGAGAGACCAGAGAGAGACCAGAGAGAGAGACCAGAGAGAGACCAGAGAGAGACCAGAGAGAGACCAGAGAGAGAGACCAGAGAGAGAGACCAGAGAGAGAGACCAGAGAGAGACCAGAGAGAGACCAGAGAGAGACCAGAGAGAGACCAGAGAGAGAGAGACCAGAGAGAGACCAGAGAGAGAGACCAGAGAGAGAGACCAGAGAGAGAGACCAGAGAGAGAGACCAGAGAGAGACCAGAGAGAGAGAGAGAGACCAGAGAGAGACCAGAGAGAGAGACCAGAGAGAGACCAGAGAGAGACCAGAGAGAGACCAGAGAGAGAGAGACCAGAGAGAGACCAGAGAGAGACCAGAGAGAGAGACCAGAGAGAGACCAGAGAGAGACCAGAGAGAGAGAGACCAGAGAGAGAGACCAGAGAGAGAGACCAGAGAGAGACCAGAGAGAGACCAGAGAGAGAGACCAGAGAGAGAGACCAGAGAGAGACCAGAGAGAGACCAGAGAGAGAGACCAGAGAGAGAGACCAGAGAGAGAGACCAGAGAGAGAGAGACCAGAGAGAGACCAGAGAGAGACCAGAGAGAGACCAGAGAGAGAGACCAGAGAGAGAGACCAGAGAGAGACCAGAGAGAGACCAGAGAGAGACCAGAGAGAGACCAGAGAGAGAGACCAGAGAGAGAGACCAGAGAGAGACCAGAGAGAGAGACCAGAGAGAGAGACCAGAGAGAGACCAGAGAGAGAGACCAGAGAGAGACCAGAGAGAGACCAGAGAGAGACCAGAGAGAGACCAGAGAGAGACCAGAGAGAGACCAGAGAGAGAGACCAGAGAGAGACCAGAGAGAGAGACCAGAGAGAGAGACCAGAGAGAGACCAGAGAGAGACCAGAGAGAGAGACCAGAGAGAGAGACCA